GACAGACACACACACACACACACACACACACACACACACACACACACACACACACAAACACAAATTTTGTAGAATCGTGTCCCTGATCAGAGATATAGATCACAGGACGAACTTGAGAATATTAAAATTTAAATAGGAACATGAGAATGTCATAAAAATGTGTACAGAATAGGACGTCTTGTCTTCAGAAACGCGTTCAAAGATCTGTATTTTCTAAAAAATTATTATAAAAGATTAGTGTTATGATTTAAACAATATTGGAAGATGATACAACCGAAAACTGTCCTCATAATGATCACAGCACGCCAAAGTTATAAAACAACATCTCTGCCCAACTGCCCAGTCATTGTTTAAGAAATTTCAACAAAATTAAAACTGTTCCTGCGTAACTCAACCTTAAGAGAGGAATCCATGCGAAAATGTCTTCAGTTTAATTATTGGATTTTTACTACACGAAACAAAACAGTGTTATATTGAGGATACCAAACAAGTAACAGGTACTTTTACTGTACCGATGACTAAAAACTTATAAGAAAAAGACGGCTTAGGCAACAGACCGTGACAGGGCATATTATGTGCCCTGTATACTGGTTGTCCGCCGATATCCTCTGTTATTGTTGTTGACACACTCTCTTCCTCAAGTTAGAAATGTCGGATTTATTCATTTCCCATCCCTGATCTTCAGGTACGTAAGATCAAATTTTAGTCCATCTCAGATAAAGACGAAAAATCGAGGAAGCCGCGTGTGCAATTTGAGTGCATTAAAGACCCCTTAGTGGTTGAAAGCCATTGAAAGGTAAACCGTTAGACCGCCACCTGGGCAAAATTCAAAATGTGAAAACTCCCTACCTTAAAGAATATCCCTATCACAGCTATAGACAATAAGGCCCTTGCACCTTCCTTGACTCCCAACGCATTGACAACGTCTTTACTTTGGAGCATATCAAGGAAACCAAGATCTTGGTTGGGGGGGGGGGTACATTTTGTATTTGGACAATCGACTTCCACTAAGTCTACCGCCCAGGCAAAGCTGTGTCATGTATACAGCTTTAGTCATCATCTATATCGATCAACAAACGAAGAAAAAGAAGGAAATGTATTTGAGA